AGACGATTACTTGGAAAAGTGTTGCAAGACCCCTTTAAATCAATATTACAGAGAAGATGTCATTGCAAAAGCAGGTCACTTCTGTGCTGTGACAGCAGCAGCTTGGAACACAGCGTGGCAGGCTCCTCCATGGGAACGCGGAGATTTGCCTGTCATTTGGGTTGCATCCTATTTTTCAACTCATAAGTGTCTTTCAAGTGGTGGCATTAACGAGCGGAGACCACATACAGAGTTTCAGAACACAATCACTTAAATAACATGTGTATTGAAATAAGCGTGGCTACATCTGGGCACTATTCAAAATGTAGAAATAAGTACATTGTCTGACATTGAAAGCCAGAAATCATGTAAACATAGCCAAGTTGGTCCACTTGGGAAGCTCAGTTTAAATACATACAAGCTTTTAGTGAAAGGATAGCCATTTCAAGAAAGATGTGCTAATGTTGTCAGGAACAATAAAATTAACTGTAGTATTACATGGATCTACAACCTTTCAGTCTTAACATATTTTCTGTGCAATTTCGTCAGTCATAAAAATTGTGATTCACCGGCGACAACAGAGTCATATTTAACAAAAAAATTAAGAAGTGTGTGGTTGGTGGGCTGTCAAAAAAGCTCCACGAGCAGCACTTGCTGCATAGAGATCATGCAAGTCATCCATAAAATTTGTTACTGGCTATACACAATTAGCATATAAAAGTACACTTCACTAGTATGAGCACGGGGCTGGGCAAGGGCACCGTAACGACTGAGCGTACCATAGTCAATGTGCTTGCAGCTCGTCCTTTATGAAAAAGGATTGTTAGACGCTAACAAAGCTGTAAAGATGATCACACTTCTAAGTAACTACACATAATAATTAGGCATAGAAAAATGTAATGCAGCCAGTCCAGTGCTTCTGACATTTAGGAGGGGGTCATTTCGCTTCTACTCATAATTACAAGTTCCAACATGAATATTTTCATGAAATTATCTGTTAAAAAATACTAACTTCCTTACATGTGCTGTCCACAAACTGAAATACTTTGCCGAGAGGGAAATTCAACACTACATTGGAAATTACAACTAAACTCAAACTACATTGCATGTAGCACTGTCTAGGTGCGAAAGAACCAGTGTGCCATACAGCAATGTTTTTTAAGCCATGGGCTTTATATTCGGATACCACTCAAGAAGGCGAGAGAGGGCCCGCTCATGTGAAGATTGATGTTCTTGAACAGTGGGGTCAACGACCGTACAATGTATGACGTTATTCTTGAGCGTGCACTTGCTTAGGAAAAGAAAACTCCATTGCCGTCTCAAGTTGCAACCGATTACATAAACCTGAATTTGATGACTATATGAAATATAGCAAGCCGTGACAACTTGTCCACTTTTGTAGCCTTAACCATGCACATAAAATAAGCACTTTGGGAGCTTCCAAGCATACTAAGCTTAGTGGGGCACTTAGTCATTTTATAGATTGACTATGGGCACCATTTCAAGCCTGTTCACCAATTTTGCATTGGTATGCAAGTCATAGCAAGAAAAACTCAAGGTCAAATATCCATTTCTATTAATATTCCAGTGCCAGGATCCAAATGCGACTTCACTGTTAAGAAAATATTCCATCATATTTCGATTGTTATGGCTCAACAATTGAACCATCAGAGTTCCTTGATTTTAGAATAAAGTGCATTCATGGATAACAATATAATAAAATAAAAGACTGCCTTACTTAACACATGTGAAAATCGAGTGATTTTGCAGCAATCTGGTGTCCAATTTTCTAGGTATGCTGCCACCAGTCTTCCGTTTTTAATCTTTACTCAGTAGGAGCAGCTCTTTTGATATTTCAGAACAGTACGTTACTATAAAATACAACTGGGGGCAACTATTTGTTTCACTTTAATGACCGCTTGATTGAAAAAGTGCCCGCGTGAAACCTGTTTTCACTGTATACGATATTAACATAATCAAACGAGGCTTTTAAGTACTAGAACGTGTCACCGGCTGACTGCAATATCATGACCCGTTTTTAATGACATCCCTTCAGATGACATTTCCAGCCTCACACCACTGCTGAGCGCTCTCCTTTACCCTTTGTAGATTCATCTATATTTTCCACACAGTGATAAAAAACTGCTGTGATTATATTAATATAAACTACAAAAAAATATTATGAAACAAGTTTTGTAAAAATCAAACCAGTAGGTTACTGAAAATAAGGTGGGACATATATGTCCCCCTGACTTGTGTTTTGAAAAAGTGGGAAAACACTGTCCCACTACCTCATGAGGACACCATGTCACGATTGCTTCAATGGGTGTTTGGGATGAAACGGCCAAAGCAAGTGGCGCATATCACATCTCAATTGTGAAAAGGAAAGTTGTGCAGACATCATTTCAGCAGGAGAACATCACGTGTAGTTGCGCCTCTTGTGAGCCTTCATAGAGCTTTTATTTTCTTCCTGTAAAGCTTACTTCAACGCGAGTGCAAACCATCCTAACTTATTCGAATGTCCATACTTTTGCTGTCAAAACAGTCTAGCACAGCTGTTGTCTCTGAATACATCTCTGCATACTTTTTAAACGTATAATATATAGAGAAAAATATTTCCACATATTTATATCTGCAATTGCTCTCAGGCATGAGCTGGGCCATTTTACAGGGGATTGTTTGGATGCATTTATCGGTCAAGTTATAATGCGAATTTTCAAAAACACATGAGGACTGGAAGCTAGAATGACCTCTCAAGAAAACCAGAAAAAAAAGAGGAAGTTATCCGGCATTCTGATTGGTAGGTTTCTATCAATCTGAAGAAGAGTAAAATCCAGGAGCTATCATAAAATTGACCGAAATTCAATGCCATTGTAACACTACTTCCACCATTCAAAAGCATAGTAAAAAAAAAAAATTTTCCTCGAGACTACGAAGACTTGAGTGAGAAATGACCAACAGCGCTACGCTAAGTGCAACGGTGATGTGGGGCAAATCTTTTTCTCCAAATGTAGAAGTGGGACGTATGCGTACCAGTGTCGCACATAGGGTTAGCTCAAGAAAGTGAACAGCAAAGCTAAACCTCGAATCAACATCGCTGAAGGCCAATATATCCAGGGAAATTATTCCTGATGTGTCCATTGAGTTGGTTGTCCATTTTAGCTGCCGCTGATTGCCTATAGCTCATCAAGCAATGAGTCCTGTTTCCGGTTTTTCTTCTGCAACATTATTTTGAAGCCATGGAGCTTTCACAACTCTTGACAAAAATGAAATGGATGGAATACACTTTAGCACAACAAACTCAAAGTCCAGAGATCCACTTAGGGCTGCGTGAATCTCAGAGGCTGTGCATGAGCTCCGATTCTCTGACTTGTGTTAGCCCTCGGATTTGATTTATGTGGCCACCTGACTAAGACTCCTTCGGAGGTTGGTATGCCTTGCCAGCATCGTTCTCAAACGTCTGAGACACCCTCACATGCACGGACAGACTTGTTAAGTTTGAGTGTGCTGTCCATTTCGCTGTACGATTCGTCTACATTTTTGTTATTCTGAGACTGGGAGTGTGCTGTGCGGCTTCAATGCATCAACATGATCGTAAGCACGGTGACATGACGGATCGTTTTCTAGAGCAACTGAATGCACTTTGCCGAATTAGACGTGTCTAGTAGGTGGAGATATAGAGAATAGCTCCTTAGTGTTGCTGCCTTGTCATGCAAGAAAAATATTTTAATGTGCGCCCAAAGCTTAATGTTGTAGTTGGGGTATAGGGTTACAGATGCATTCATGAAGTGAATAATTATCACTGAGATTCCCAATTGAGGTCTGTCTGTGAAAAGGTGGTTTAAGGTCACTAAACACATTAATCTAAATCTTTCACATAATCTGCATTGAGGGATACAAATAAAACACTTTCTCGTTTGGATAAATTAGTGAAGCTATAGTGATTAAAGGAGGAGAAAATGAGTTAGTTAACAACATGGATGGACATTTCGATAACTGAGCACATAGGGCTAACCAAAGACAAATTACGCAAACTATCAAGCAATTTTTGCCCTCTGCCAGTAAAAATTAGGCTGACAATAGAACTACATTGTGCACAAAAGCTACACCAGAACTATAGATTGTGTGCGCTTTCTATAAATACAAGTAGCTTTCAGATGATGGTCACTTGCAAACACCCTTCCATGCCTCTGCTGGTTGCCCAATGTGAATAACTTATTAGGTACATATGTGGCTGGTATGGCACTAATTTTAAGACAAATAGAGTTTACATAAAGACCACGCAAAGTAAATTTGGTTTTAGGATTCTGACTGTCACTTGGAAAATCAAGGGCAGAGATCAGCTAAAAAGCCATTCAGCTTGTTTCCATGACTAGTTTGAACAACCCTGGTCACCACCAGCGAAGGTACAGTGAAAGCTATAAGCTTAATAGATACATGGACAGATGCACAAATGGTGGTACTGTATGTTACATGGACAGATGCACAAATAGTTGTACTGTATGTACAATATGCCTTTTGCATCCCAATGAATTGCCAGCATACACATAGAATAAAGCTACATCTTGTCACACAAACTTTGCATTTGCTGGCAATAGTTTTTGTGATAATCATCAGCTGACACTGTACACGGTCATATATGCATAGACAGCCGCCTACCCTCTGGGGAAAGAAAAAGCATTATATTTTACTTTTGAGTACTTGCCGACTGCTAAGTTCGTGCACTTTGACTGCATCTTAAGGGAGTACAGACGTGAATAAATATTAGTGAGAGTGTTGCTTTAAATAATAATAATGCAGGTGTTCAGAACCCCAGAAAGAGTGTCAGTGCTTAGGAGTGCATTTAATATATTTTCAACACAGCTGCCCTTAAAGAGCAATTTAGGCTTCGGTTTCGCAGTAACTTGTCAAGAGAGGTCTGCCGTCATGGAAAGACTGCAACTTGCGACATGCTAGCAACAGCTGCCTGTTCGCTGCAAGTCGCACGTAGTTCACGTAAACTATGAGTGAATTGTCATCCAGAGACTCTGACAGTGATTTATGCAATTTAGGCTACATGCAGAATGCAAATTTCACAAACCCAGAGCACTGTGTTGACTTGTGACAACTTCCATTGCGATGCGGCTCGCTTGCAGATGCTGGGTGATAACTTTAAAATCAAAGTAAAATATTGTGTTGCCTGGGTTTAGTGTATGGAGAGCGATGATGCACACCACGGAAATGAAAAATGCCCCTTTGAGGTCCTTCAAAATCATGTCAGTACTCCTTTAAGAAAAATGCTTATGCTCCATTGAAGACTAGTAGCTCTGACAAGCTGTCCAGCAAGCAATGACACACAGTGCAATCTTTCTGGCCCACTAAGCAATGTTGGACAGTTTGGCTACCGTATGTCCTCGACAGCATCTCTACTGTTGTCCCATCAATAAGCATCTTCTGCAATGAGGCCCAGCCATCTAAAGATGAAAAAACATCATGTTCCATTTGCACTACGTATGCAAGGTTTCACTTCCTACACTGAAGACCCTCAAATATCTAGCACATTGCTATTATGCTTAACACACACAACCTCTTGACAAATGTGTTGGCCTTGCCACGAGAATGTTCAGTCACCCACCCCCAAATTTCACGAGTGTAATTTCAAGCATGCAGGCATGGGAGGCTGTTGCTGGGCAGGACTATTATGCATCGTCTATCCACTGCACACTACCACAGGTTTGTGGACACAGCCATCTCCAGTAGACTATGCTGCATCCAACGTTTCGAGGAGCTACAGTCAAGAGCAGAATAAGCGTGCTGACTCCATTTGCTCAAGAATCCAGCTTTGGCTGCCCCTCAATAAATAATAACTAAAAAAATTAATTTAGGCTGGTACACTCATTTGTTCTTTGCCTTTTTGTTTCTAGGTATGTGGCTCTGGTAGTGTGCCATCATGAAGCACAGGATGAACGTGTTGGCTACGAGGAACATGAGGCCTGCCACCCAGACGTGAAGAAAAAGCGGCTTGCCACCGAATTCGAGGTAGTAGGCCTCCACCAGCCACAATGCCTGGCCTCCCAGCCACATGAGCAGCAGAAGCACACTGCGCCTCACACTCAGGCCGAGCTTGGGCAGCACCAGTGGCAGCAGACACAGGTACCACAGGAAGTACTGCGACGTACACACCTTGTTAAAGCTCACCAACACAAACGTGACGCAAAACAGGGCGAAAGGTAGGTCACTCAGCTGGCCATACTTGAAGGAGAGCAGCAGCATCAGCAAGAGCTGTGGCAAGAGGGCAGCAAACGTGCTGCCACCACCGGATGTGTTTTCGGTGGCTAGGTAGAGCGGGTAGAAAAGAGGAGAAAAGTTGTGGCGGACGTCTCTCCGGGAGACGTGATAAAGAAATGCCTCCTGGATGTACTCTCGGCTGTAGGCCATGTAACACAAGAACGTTGGGACGAAGAAGGACGCTGCACTGGAGCCCAGGAAGATCAGCTTTCGCCTATTGGGCAACAGTAGTCGAGACAGGTAGGATCGCCAGCTCTCCAACTCTCCCTTTGCCGCAGACCCAGAGGGCAGCCTCGTTTGGAGGGCCAAGTAGATGGGCAGCGCGTAAACGGCCGTGTACATCTTCAGGTGAACCGAAAACCCATAGGCCAGGCCGGCAGCCGTGTCCCTGTTCTTGAGCAGGGCGAAGAGAGAGAACACGACGATAAGTGCCAGTATGGAATCTGAGCTCCCGCGTGTGGAAACGGCGAAAGTGATAGGGTTGTAGAGCCACAGGCAGGCACAAAGCACGGCCTTGCGTTCGCTAAACTTGGCCGTGCGAACGATGTGATAGGCGTAGTAGCCTACGAGGACGTCTACCGCGGAGAAGAGGACTTTTCCGAAGGCCGGATGAAGCAGCACGTTGGGGACGAGGAGCACGGCCAGCAGGGGACTGTAGCGGTACGTTTCCCGGAGGAACGGCGACTCTCCCTTGACCACGTAGGCGGCGCCGTCAGTGAAGACGTGGTAATCGACGTCGGTGTACTTCAGCTGCAGGTTTTGGTCTTGCCACTCCCCGACGACGATCAGGCCGGCGCGCATGAGCCCAGCCAGGACGAGGTGGTGGTAGAGCTTCACTTTGCCCACACTGAACCTGCTCGACTGCTGCACCATCGTGACAATTGAATACTCAAACCCTCGCGGGATGCACAATCTGCGGGGGAACAAAGGCAGTTGGGATCTGCTACGAAAGGACAACACTCCGTCGGTCGCAAGCTACTTCGACTTGTCGTCTTTCAGGAACCCAGCGCAGCAGTCAGACATTTCCTTCCACTTCTCACAGCACTTCAACAACTCCTTGATGAAGGATAAGCAGGCTTCCTCTTTATAGTTGTTAGCTTCGGAGGACGAAAAAGAAGTGATAGGAATTAGTTCTAAGGTTCACAGGATTGAAATCGGGCACGCCTGAACACTACAGGTAGGGCGCTTTGCGCCGCAAAACCATCCCGAAATTCACGCATGTGCACCATGCCTGCCTAGCCTTTCGAGCGCAGGTAGCAGATGGTTGAATGCAACGGTCTAGCTACAAACACTGTTTATTATTCACACACGCGTAGCTAAGACGCATGCAATGGAGGCGCGAAATCGAGTCATCCAAAGCGATCGATCGCAACTCCACAGTGGCCTGACTCCAGAGAGCACCTTTGGTTAACCTTTTTTGGCATGCGTAAGCTTGCAACTAGAAGTACACTTATTAATGTAAAAGATATAGTGGCTTACCTTGCAGGCATTTTTGAATGGCGCATGCCTCTTTTTGGCAAGGGTCGACAGCTCCTTTCATTTTCGTAATCGCCGCAAGTAAACAAACAAGCAACACAAGCAGATACCCCCTCCCCCAAGTTCTCTCCAAAGAAGAGTCCGCAGATTTTGAATACAGGAACATATAATGCCAATTTCAAGCTAAAGCACGCATTTCTAATAGAAAATTGTAAAGAAAAGACTTTATATGTGTTGCATTGGTAAAATAGAAAATTTTTAATGATTTGCGCTTGCAATTGACGCGAAGTGGTGCGGCTGTCGCATTTACTTCAGAAAACGCAAAGTTAGCAGACAAGTAAGCAATGAACAAACTAAGCCGCAAATAAACAGACATTTTATCAAGCATCGACAAATATTAATTATGACAGATATAGCTAGCTGTAATACTTTGCTTAGGGAGTTAGAAAACAGTACGATTCCACCGTCCCACCTGTAACAGCACTGCAATATAAACATACATCTGTGCTAAAATAATGTTAATTTCGCTCGTCATTAACCTCACGACGCGTTTACGATTGCTCAGCACGCATAAACGAGAGTTTTTTTTGGTAATCTGTCGCGTAGCCAGGAATTCTTGCGAAAGTGAGAGTAACAGCTGAGAGAAACCTATGAACAAACTAAAATATCGACACCGGTGTTTAGCAGCCTATAATTCAATAAATTGTCAAACAAGCAGTAAGTGCCTAAGCCGTCATTACTCCCTCAGAACAAATGACTGCTGTAGAGATACACAGAGCACGTCTATCGACTGTAATCTTTTGTTTGTATCGCCGTGCCGCCGACGCTCTCATGAATGAGCTCCGCTGCTCTCGCGATTTCTCGCGTAGTGACGGGATTTCGTGAAGTAAAACATGGAAGATGGCGGCTGATAATGATGTGCGGTTAATAGAGCGATTACGCGTTGTGATCGGTAAGTCATTCGTTCTGTTTTTGTTTTTCTGAACTTTAAATGCTTACTGTTACGGTTTAAATCATTGTTGAACGTAGAGTGTCGCTACACGCTGTTTCTCGGTTGTTTCAGAAATGGGAGCTTCGGGTAGGCCTATCCAACAGGTTGTCGCTTGCTTCGTCGTAGCGTCAGTTCTCAGTACTTTAGATTCGTCCGGTCCGTTCCGCGTGTCTTTATATCGTAATCGAGCCGTCAACAGTTGCGCTTGATACCAGCGCTCGCCGGCAACGTGGTTGGCGCCAGAGACGACCTTGGGATCTTATGAATGATCCCGGAAAAAATTTTTTGCTTCCTTCATTCATTCATGAGAGTTGTAGCGAGGATTTGTGAATGGGGTTTCGCAAGCTGCTTCGATCGTCACACCCCCGCTCTTGCCTCGCGCTGGTGACTTGCTGCCGCGCCCCAAGATGACTCTTCGAAACTACCCACGGCTTCGTACAGGTACCCGAAAATGTGCCAAACCGAAAGCAAACAAACAAAAAACGCTTGCGATCGCCCCGAGCTGCGCGTTGTGGCGTCGTCCTAGGAAGAGGCCTAGTGTGGACATTTTTCTTTTCTTTCTCGGTGCTCTCCAGGCGAAGCTAAGAACCTGCCGCCTCGGAGCCATGGCTCGGTGGAACAGCGTGATGTCTACTGCGCCATCAAGCTCGACCAGGAGGAGATATTTCGAACGACGACCAAGGAGAAAACCCTCAAGTGAGTCCCCCCCGTTCTGTACATTTATTACTGTTTTCTTTTGAAAGCGGTCCTTTCCCACGCGTTGCGCTAGATCCGTGCTGCACGCGTGCGTGCCGCGTTTCCGGTCCCCTTTGAAGGCAGATCGCCTCACTGCTTTCTTACGCCCGATAAGGGGCACGCAGAAGCGTCTTCTCCCCGTCTTCTATCGGCGCGCGATGTCACAGCGCCGGACATACACACCTGTTATCTTGCGGGGGAGTCGGGGAGGGGGATGTGGCAGTCTTTTTCACCAGTTAATTACGCTCGCCGCGAATCCCCCGATAAGGGTGACCTGTTTTCGCCGGCAACCCACACCTGGGCTCTTTTTTTCCGTCCGGCTTTCTCCTCTTGCACGCGGATGCGTGCACCGTATGATTATGCAGCACACGTCTCCGTCCCGCTAGCATCCGGGGTGTCGGTTGTAGCGGGACTGGCCTGCGCTGACCTGACGCTCTACTGAAATCGGATTGTTTCACACTGGTCCAGTGACCGAACGCCTTTGTCTCTTCGCGATGGTAACGCTTAATGTTTGAACCTGTTTCTCTATTGATCAAGCTGAACCTTCGTCACTTAAAATGTTTGTGATAAGAAGCAAATAACTAATAGTTACAACGATGGAGCTATGTTGATTGATATGTGGGGTTTAACGTCCCGAAACCACCATATGATTATGAGAGATGCTGTAGTGAAGGGCTCTGGAAATTTCGGCAACCTGGGGTTCGTTGATGTGCACTCAAATCTGAGCACACGGGCCTACAGCATTTCCGCCTCCAGAGGTGGCTATGTTGTGAGTTCAAGGATGCTTTAGCGTAGTAGTATGTCCCATCCTAGTGTCATCTTGTACTCCTTGTATCTCGTCTAATACTTCTTTCAGGAGGAGTTTACTAGCCACCAGTCGTGCCAATATTCAGTACACAGTGCCAAACACTTATTGAATTTAAGTTGAATTACTGTATTCCGATGATTTAAGTTGAATTACTGTATTCCGGATGCCATTTATTAGTGAAAGTTGTTGGGTGTGGGTACAAAAGGGTTCTGATTCACTTTGGATTGTTTCTCATGATCGACAGAATAGTGCGTAAACAATGAAAGAACACAGGTGGCTAGTCAGCAGAAAATAATATCTGAGCTTTGATCTTTTCAGCACGGCAGGTAAAACAACTTTACCATAAGCTTGTTTTGTGCGTTGCATGTTGTGATGCGTAAACTATGGTCGTTGCTTGACCGTGAAATATTCTAAAGGCAGTGGCTTGTTCTCTGCAAAATTGGCATGCGACTACTGTGATACATGTCCGTATTGTCCCACTCCTGTGATGCAAGCAGATACATACCACCTTTTATGGACATGTAAAGGGTTGCAGCCAGAATGCTCCCGTTACCTCGCTCAAGCTGGCCTTTGCTACAGCGACACAGCCAGTTACAACCGCTGGATACATGAAAGCAGATTCCACAAGACACTACTTCACTTCATACACAATGTCGGCCTAACAGCACACATTTAACGCAAAAATATTATGCCTTAAAGGCAAGTATTTGTCGCAATAAAAAAAAAAAAAGACTACTGTGATGCACCTCTTTACGCACTCTTGGAACAGTGCACTCATTATACAGGGCTTACTCGTTCAATCAAGCAAACAAGGTTCATGAAGTTGGTTAGTATAGTGTATTTCAGCTGCCTTTAATGAGTGCAAACACACTTAAGAAACTCTATCAAGCCTTGATACCATAAACAGATTTGGGTGCACGTTAAAGAACCCCAGGTGGTTGAAATCTCCAGAGCCCTCCACTACGGCGTCTCTTATAATCATATGGTGGTTTTGGGACGTTATACACCACATATTAAACCATTTTATACCATAAATAACATAGTGTCTTTCAGCAGTTGGCACTCGGCTTGTTGGTCTTCTGTTTTTTCTTCCATTACTTGCGATGCAGTAATGGAGTGCGATGCAAAAATTGTTTACGTAGGAATATTAGAGTGCCAACTTTGCACGTAGGGATGAGGGAGCTATTATGTGGCTGTTCATGCAAAGCGACAGTTTGATGAATCACTCACAAATTCTCGTGTTTTCTGGCTTTACCACTGCTCCCACTTGATTTTTTTTTTTACCTAAAGGGACACTAAAGGCAACTATGAAGTTGATGTGATTGTTGAAATAGCGGCTCAAAAACCTCATAGTGTTACTTTTACTTTTATGCCAAGAAAGTGTATTTTGAAATAAAATCATGGTTTAGTGGTCCGTGTCGGGTTAGCACACTTTAATGCATTCCCCGCATCATTGGAACGTCTGACGTTACTGTTGCCATGCATGTTGCCCGGCTGTATTGCACAGCACTGACACTAGTAGCAGCACAGGAAGCCACAGCAGCAACAATGGCCATTGAACAGTGGTCAACCATGGCCTTCATGATTGTGAGCTTGCTTGGTTCAACTGGGCCCCACTAGATGGCATGACCAAGCAAAAATTGAATTTTTAAACCACTCGCGCCATTTCCCATAGCAATGTCCGGCGCTTCTTTTTTCCATGAATCAAACAGAAACGAACAAGAAGGATTTTATTACATCTCTTGACGCACGGAAGGTTTTTTATTTAGTGCAGCCAGTTTGATTACTAGTGAATAATTGTAGGCGGTACCTCTGATGTAATCGGGATCATTTTGCGAATGTTCTATCGTAGTGCACATGTTCTTGTGCATTGACCTCAATTCCTCGGTAAGTATGGCACTGTTGTTGATAATATTGTCGCTTTAGACATTGTCATACATTGAGGTTTCACTGACATAAATTGTTATTATGCTTTAGTGTTCCTTTATGCGTTCACATTTTTTCTGACATTTAGTATTCTGCCTGCTGGGGAGTGTAGTGGCAAAGGACTTAAATTTCTGGCCATATGTAGCTGGTGTCGTAATTCTCTTCAGAGGGTATCACCATAGTTCTTCCACTTTTGTATATTTCTGGTTGCAGTGGTTCTGACATTGAATATGTGGTATTTCATTGTAAATGAAAAGAAAGGGCAGCTTTGTGAGTTCTAAGAGATTTTTCATTACAAAGAGGGCATGAAGATTAGTAATTATTTGAAAATTGTAGCGTGCAAGTGTTCCGACGCCAGTATTTATAAAGGGGAACTCGCAGAAAAAGCCTTGCCCTTTTTTCGGCTGCATAGCTTTTCCTGCCTAGGGAGTGGATGCAGAATTTAGAAATATTATTGCCTGTACTTACTGCTTCGGTTTAGTGTCCCTTAAACATTGACTCACGAGAATCTCTCACTGAACTTTGCGTAGCCCTATGAATTTCCAGTGTCTTGAAAACTGTGCTCATGATGTTTTTTTTTTTGTGTGACAATTCTTTTTTCAGTCCATTTTTTCTGAGGACTTCCAGTTTGAAGTGCCAAGGGAGTTCCGGTACCTGTCAGTCTATGTGGCTGAACGAGAGCGAGCCTCCAACAAGGACAAAATCCTGGGCAAGGTCTCTATCAAAAAAGAGGGCATGCACAAGTTCTATGGCAAGGACAACTGGTTCCCTATCATGCCCGTGGACGCTGACTCGGAAGTGCAGGTAAGGTGAAAGTTCGTATGCATGAGGGCAGACTGACTAATACAGGTGCAGTGGCGTTAAGGAGCACTTACACAAACATTTTGGACCTTGTTTTTGATTACTACAATATGTAGCTTTTGATCCACTTATAATGTCTGGGAACCTCGTTTGCATGAGTGCGCAAAGGTGATTTACTCAGAGATGTTTTCGTAGCACCCATTCGAAGGTTCCGTTTTGAAGGGCACTGTGCTAAGCAGGAGCATTTCCGGTAGCTAGGTAAACGTAGCTGGCCACGTGAACATGCAAAACTGACGTGGGCACTACGTGCATGAGCAGATGCCACACTGACAGCCAGCGCACAAAAAGCCGCAGGCATGGAGGAAGAAATCGCAGGTAGCGCAAGGCGCATACTAGCAACCAGCTAACACAAACTCGTCACATAAGTTTATTCACATTGATGCTGTGTTGATGTTGGTGTTGCGAGGGGCTCTGCATGTTGCTCAGTAGCATGGCATGCATTTTAAAATTGATTTTAAATATGTTCTAGGCTATGTTTGTCCTTGATATTTCGTAGATGTTGTGCATGTCCCGAAATAAGTATATCTGACTCATTATATCTCCTTTTTTGGTGCTCGTTAAAGAACCCCAGGTAATCGAAATTTCCAGAGCCCTCCTCTACGGCGTCTCTCATAGTCATATGATGGCTTTGCAACATTAAATCCTACATATCATCATCATCACCACCATCTCTCCTTTGAAATGTTGTGTCGGTGCTCTTTTAAGTAAGAGTTGCAACACAATGGCCATGGTCCCCAAGCCTATGCTGTAATGCATGCAAATGTGTCACCGCCACCGGGCAGTGTTAGAGCCACTTTAACCACGAGCAGCATCTTGTAACTCATGTCGTGTGCAACTGCACGAAATGGGTACAGCTGAAAAGAGATGACGGAGGTGAGCAGAGGGAGAAAAAAAAAAAAAAGCCTGTTGGTATGCATGGCAGGAAAAGTTTCTCTCACTGCCCTCCGTTGATAGGCTGGTGACTACATTTTCTTGATGCTTGAAGTCTGATCATGAAAAAGAATCGTACAGCCCGCGTCGGTGACATAGCACCTTGAAGTTACTTGTTTTGTAGAAAACTCTGTGCTAAGTCCAATGCCACTATATGTCAATACAGTGAAACTTGATTTATACGTCCCTTGCTTACACGACAACCCACTTTTTATGATGGATCGCTTTGGTCCCGGCGAAACTACCACAGTAATAATGTACTACAGAAAACCTTTGTTTTAGAGTCGAACTCCGCTACAACAAAAGCCACTTCAACAAAGTTTCCGCTACAACGAAAAATTCACGATTCCCCGTCAGCAGTCCATAGGAGTCAATGCATGAATATTGTCGCCACAACGAACACTTTTCTTCTGTTCCTCTTCAACGAAATTTTACGATGCAATTCCAGGCTCAGATACTTTTTGCTATGCAGTAAACACAATCTTTAACATTTTGATGCATTTTCTGAGCCTGGAAATGTGTCAACAAAGTCTAAAACACGCGTTAGCACCACCAGGAACCGCCGCCATTGCTCGATAGCAATGGCAATGAGACAGCCCGGCTTTTGCCACTGGCTTGCTTTTGAGCCGCAGACAATTCGAAGCTGAAGCTCAGCTGCTCATTTCGTGGTTTCCTTCACGCAGCCGATGGGTGCAACTGCGGAACGATGCCTTTTCCGATTCTGATCTTTATCATTATGTTCGCGCTTGGCTAGTGTGGTAACTAATCAGAGTGGCTGTTCATCCGCATTATGAACAAAATCAGCTAGCCGCGAGTGATGGATGATAAGAATGGCATAGAATAAAGCAAAAGGCGCGCTCCACGATACTCTGTCTCCATCTTGGCGTTGTCGGATACACTTTGACGGCAGACAGCTGCTGGTGTTAATGTGTTAATGCAGTTTGGTTCGTTCACAAAGGCGGTTTTAGGCGTTGTTTCAGCAAACTTTTTACCATGGCCTCGCTATTCATGGGTGAGCACCACGTCGTGTTGCTTCTGGGAAAGAATAGGAAGCAGCGGACACTTTTTGAATTTTGAGAATAAACGTTTCTTTGTTTTGCTAGCTCAGATCAGCTATATTTTTTCAATTTCACTGCAACCAAATTTTTTCCGTGCCCCATCAGTTTCATTGTGGCGGGGTTTGACTGTACAGTGCAGTTTCACGCCGACCCCCGCATCTTGCGACTTTCCGATTCCATCCAAAGTAAAAAAGAAACACTTTTCTCGCATCGAATTTTGACCAAATATTCACGAGTGCAAATTATGAATGTGTGTTCCCCTTGATTGATGATTAGAAAAGTAAAGATTGAGACAGGTGATCTTCTCAGAATGGAAAATTTATTTTCCTGGCAGTTCATAAACTTCTACATGCACCTCAGTTCGTGTGCGTACGAAGGGTCGTTACCTAGAGAAGCTCCGTAAAGAGTAGCTTCAGCTGGCTGAATAGCTCACTTTTGAGATCCAGATATCTTCATGTTTTCGGTCTGTGGAAACTCTTTCTGGTCAGCGTACAGCTGATCTCCTGCTTTGGTTTGTGGCACTCTCAGTTACAAGCTTGAGCATGCAAAAGGGCGCGAGGCAGCTATTTTCATCGTGCAAATTAACTGTCACTTGATTTCAACATTAATAATAACAGCGGGACGTCAATAGTTGCGCTTCATAAGGCAACAAACTGCACATGCTCAGTCGAGCACGAAGGCATTCTACATCAACTCACAAACTCGTCCCTTACCATTATGCAATGGCAATGACACTATGTCTAACTCTTCTTACTGAAGGCTGTCGGCAACACGGTTTCATTTTCTCTCGCAGCCAATTTTCGGACACTGAGAAAGATGCTTGTTGGAATCAAGTTTTTTAAGCCTAGAATAAAAATTATTTCGCACTTGCCTCAGCTAATGTAATGCTGCCATTGGCAAGAATAATTTAATCTACCATTCTTTGAAGAAGCAAATGGTCATGTTGTGGGCTTATTTAGGTGGTCTTTACCCGTTTTTTTGTGCAAGCCCGAGTGCCACTGCCTGTATTCTTAGTTTTTCAATTATGCGACTCCTGGATTATATGACGGTCTTGTGTGGTCCCCTGAAAGTCGTATAATTGGGTTTGCACTGTATGTTGAAGTGGATTTAGCTGCACTTGGGGCATGCACGAGCTTGAAAGCGTTTCTCTGTGACAGCAGTGGAATATATTCCAGTTAGATTTACAATGTATAACTTCACTCCAGTACGGCGCAGTTCCTTGACACCACTACTTGGTCGCCACTGTATCGGTGACAGGGTACTGGTGCTTTTTACAGGAATTTTTTAACTGGCAAATAAAGGTGATTGCCAGGCATTGCTTAAGTGACAGGATGTGAGTGTTCATTCGAGATAACGGTTGGAGCTCATCCTATGTACAGTATATCTTTAATTATACCCTCTTTGTGGCTTTAAGATGACAAGCTTCACCATTTATTTCTGTCCCCTTTTTTTCATGCTTGCAGGGGAAAGCCCATATCTCCGTTAGGCTAGAGCCATCAACTAAGTCTTCCATATATGGACCCTGTGCAAAACTCGTAGTGAGGCAAGTATACATTGTTAGTTTTCCTTTCACTGCAAAGTTTTGCTAGTTATTCTTTCATTTACTGTTATCATTTACACGTTTGCCCACCAGAGTGACAGAATGCAGTGACTTGAACTTGGTGAACGGCTCCTGCAACCCATACGCTCAAGTGACCCTGTGCCACGGCAACACCAAGCAGGAGACCCGCAAAAGCAAAGTCCGTCGGAAAACGGTGTGCCCGCGCTTTGAGGATTCCTTTGCGTTTGATGTGAGTTTTCAGAAAATATATTTTTTATTCTAAGTTTAGCCTGTACTTTTAGCTTGAATCTGGTTGCTGGCTCTCGCGATGCAGCGGACATCATGCAAGCTGAAGTGGCCCAGGGCAGTCATATCTATTGTAACTGAAGCTGCAAGTGCCAGCGCTACACATTTGTGGCCGAAGGGCATTGTATGGAGGAGACAGTGGAAGGCTGAAACTGCGGGGGGATAGCTTTCTGCCTCTATTCACAAACTACGCATCGGGCAGGTGACACAGGTATACATTAGCCAGTTTCATGAGTGGTGCACTGGGGAAAAACTTCAGAGGCCGCATGCTGCACATGTCTGAACAAGAGGTAGCAACGACTCGTGTGCGCAAGGGAGCGGGGCTGGGAGTCTGTTTCATACATTGTATTAATAAAAGGGTTGGGAGTGCTGCGACGAACATTTGACTCCCCGTTGTAGGGGAACCCAGCGAACGTTTATGGTAGCCACCAGTATGCTCATAGAAAAATGGTAGAGGAAATTCTCGAAGCCATGGCATGTAACGATGAAAATTTCGTGCAGCACATCACTCCCTTGCCTTCTCCCCTGTGAAACTTGAAGCCTACCGTAATTACTCGAATCTAACGCGCACCTTTTTTCCGGTTAAGCGAGTTAATAAATCGCATGCACGTTAGAATCGAGTACGAAAAAAAAAATTACGGTGAATCTATTGCCATCGGCAAATCCAAAATGGCCGCCCCCTACGTGCGTCGGCATGGCGCGTCGGCCATTTCTGCCTATGTGTTTCCCATGTGCGGCACTTCGTACGTGTGCTGAGGAGTTCGTCATCTAGTAGTGCATTAGCATCGACGGCGTAGAAGGGCAGAGTCCAAAAACTCGAGTGCACCACGATGCCGCTTTTAAAAGAAATGTCATGGCGTGTGCAGAAACGGACGGAAATCGAGCCGCATCGCGGTCGTTCGGAGTTCCCGAAACGTGCGTGCAGGACCGGCGGAAACAAAAGCAGAAGATTCTCGACAGCAAAGCTTCACGCAAAGGCTTCAGTGGACCACAGCAGGGTCGGTTTTCGCAAATTAAAGAGCTGCTCGGCAAGTATGTGCTTGAGCAGCGAGCGGCACAGCGGTCCGTGACGACAGAACTGCTCCAAGTGCGGGCTATGCAATTAGTCTTGAAAAAAGGTCCAATGCAGAGCCAGTTTAAAGCGAGCAGGTGCTGGCTAACTAACTTTATTTAGAGGAAAGGCTTTTCCCTCCGAAGGGGAACATGCATATGCGAAAAGTTTTGCGGAAGAGTACGATGAAAAGCTTCACAGTTTTCAGAGGTTCGTCCTAAACTTGCGGCGCAACAACGGCTACCTGCTTGGGCAAATCGGGAATGCCCATCAGACGCCTCTTTACTTCGACATGCCTGGCACCACAACCGTCGAGAAGAAGGGGGCGAAGCAAGTTTGCGTGCTGACATCGGTCCACGGTAAAACTACCGTGACGGAAAGCTCTGTTACACGTCAGATGGGCACAAGCTTCGCCCGTACCTCATATTTAAAAGGAATACGCTCCCGAAGAAGTCGTTTTTTCGAGTGGTGTGATCGTGCGGGCCGGCGAGAAAAATGGGTGCGCGTTGCAATCGATGTCTTGCATTTTTTTTTTTTTCGCGGTGGAAATCGGGTGCGCGTTACAATCGAGGGCGCGGTAGAATTGAGTAAGTACGGTAATTGCGATGAAGAAAAAAATGGTATATGGCTCGTAGTATGATAACACTGCTTTTACTGGATGGGTTAAAAAAAAATTTTAACAGGAGGCATGTAATGCAAGTGAGTCTAATTAAAACGTGTTACTGGGTCATTTTAAGCGATGTCTGAACACTGTGTAATTGTTCAGTGTGGTCTATTCTGAAAAAAGACACACTATTTTAGAATGTCTAAGACAAATTTTTGCTGGAAGCATTATGCCAAAGGAGCTTAGAAACCATGCTGCTGTGCTTTTTAACAGATATCGGATTGCTTTTATCGTGTAATTCAATAACATTTATCAATGATGTTGCTGCATTATTTGTTATGTATTTTGAGAAGGGTGTAATGAAAGTATGTGGCATGAGCCAAACATATGGGGCTAACTAACATTTCACTGTCCATTTTCTTGTGATATTCCTCATTTATAGCTTTTGGTGGTAGCATTATGTATTAAAAAATTGATGAGACATGCAAAGGTGTGGCACATGGTTAACATAAAAAGCTGGAGCATGGTCGTTAAAAGTTAGGGCCATGGTCTTATGGAAGTACTTAGCATTTGAAAGCCATAGATAACAAGTCCTTCATATCTAACATGCACAGTACCCTTGATTCAAAATTATGAGTGTGCATAATTATTTAATATTTCTGTATCTTTAGTTTATGAAACATTACTAGTGTTTTTTATCTGTAACAATTCATTTTTGATCTTTTATTATATCAGTGCCAAAATTTTTGGTGAGCCGCTATATTTACTCTTAGTATGTGTAATGTGCCAGCTTAACAGAGCTTGTATCTGACAGGGCTTGTGTTTCTGGTGTGTTTATGGTCTGCTGGAAAAATTGCATGGCACAGTGTTTAACGGCAGTGTCTGCCTACTTGTTTGTTTTATTTTAGGTAGTTTTGCTCATTTTTTTATTGTGTTAGTTGGTCATTTGTAGTTGGTTCTTTCCTTAGGGCAGCATTTTTTAACATTCTCCATTGCAGCTCAAGCCACAGAGGTCAGACAAGCAGATACGCTCTATAAAGGATGAGTTCAGCAACCTGGAGCTTAGGTGGGAATCACTTCAATGCAGTTTTTGTAACCATGTCTGCAGGCTGCAAACAGCTATTGCAGAATGACTTTGTCTTGGATGGAAGTGTGTGTTCCAGTATGCTAAGTGATTTTGTTCATGTTGTGACTTGCATAGAAACCATTTTGTTGTTTGAAAGTATCACGCAAGGCATGCAATGTTTCATGTCATATAGGAAATGCATTAGTTGGAGATTTAGGTTTTGCTTGGCCTCATAAATAACCCACACAAGTCACAAAAGACGTTTAGACACGCTTGCCTTTGGATGCCTTGCATTGAAAGTCAACATACAGTCGACTCTCAATAAATTAAAGTCCTTTAATTGGAGTGTTCAGTTAACTAGAAGCCACCAAGTGGGGCTCCCATAAATTTTGCATGCATGCCTATAGGCAAAAATGCTCAATAATTTGAAGTTAAGAGCCCGTAATGTTGGCCAATTAGAAGTTATTTTTCAGTTGAGAGCCTCAAGGCCATCCTAATGTTTTAATTAAATGAATTTTTTATGTGCCAAGACCGCCAAGACAGCTGTCGGACCATGCTGTTGTAACCATCGCCAGTGCCATGGTTATTAAGTGGCCATTTTGTTTAGTCAATGCCGTGGTATCGCATTGATTGCATCAGCTAACTGAGGCCTTTGGTTGTGATGTGTCTAGTGCTTAAGCTGCGTACTGGGTTGAAGTCTGATTGAAGTTAGAACAGCGCGACTGGACGCTGGCGAAAAAGGAATTCTCACACAGACACGGTGCTCTGTGTGTGTTTGTGTGTTCTGCTCCGTCTGCGTCCAGGTGCGCTCTTTAAACATAGCATGATAAACCAACTAGCCCGCCAACACACTGTGGGTTGATTGTGCACATGTTTGTTTTCCACGGATGATTTTGACTGTTGTGGTGGCGACGTTTGATAATGGCAACTCGCGGCTCCTCCCGAACGCTTGACTTGGCAACGGAAGTCTGAAGTATTGAAAGAAGTTGACCAGGGAGGCATCACCAAGCAAGACATCACATGAAAGTATGACATTAAGCTTAACTCGCTCTCAAATTTCATCAAGTGCAAAAAGGTGATCTTGATGACCGTAGCTTTGAGGCCATTCTTAGACGTCTGTTTTGAAAAACTTGTTGCCGTGGACACCAATGTTGATGCATGCAGCCCACTAATGAACAGAAAAATTGTGATGATGGTTCAGTCAGTGGACGATGACATAAAAACAACCGCCAATGAGGACTACCGATGCTGCTGCGGGTTTTGCTCTTGCGCTGCGGCTTTGATGTTTTGTTGGAAGAAGACGATGCTTAAGAACATCTTGGACATGTGTAGTGCTTGGAAAACTTGCGATCGGCAGCCAGGTTCGACAAGAGATAATGACAGACTATCTTTTAAGAGCACTGTTAGGTTTAAAGCAACAAAAGTGTTTTTCTGCGCATTTTTCTTAATAGGAAGTTCGTTTGGTTTGAAGTTTTTTACGGTTCCCATGAACTTCGTATTAACAAGGGTCTACTGTATTTAAGCGGCAGCTAAATGGATGTCACAAGCTAACTTGGTGTTATAGCTCAAGCTGGCATAAACTCAAGGCAAGAGCTTGAGGCACTGCTTTTTTTCGGCTGATGTGACTGGTGTTCTGCTCATGAGAGCAGTGTATACACAGGGTTGATACTTAGTACTCGAAGCTTTGCACATCAGAGAGAGAGCAATGGTGCTCGCATGTTGAGATTTTACGGCCTAGTAGGTTTCCCAGGTAATATTGGGAATGTTGCAGCAACTCTGATCATAAACCTTAGCCTGTTTGTCAAGTCCTCATACTTGAGATCACAGACAGAAGCTCTTCAGTGTTCGAATGCAGTGTGTGAATGAACAAACAGTTTGATTTGATCTGAATTATATGTGGGGTTTAACGTCCCAAATATGATTATGCGAAACGCTGTAGTGGAGGGCTCCGGAAATTTCGACCACCTGGGGTTTTTTAACGTGCACCCTAATCTGAGAACGCGGGCCTACAGCATTTTCGCCTCCATCGAACATGCAGCCGCCGCAGCCGGGATCTGATCCCGCGACCTGCGGGTCAGCAGCCGAGTACCTTAGCCACTAGACCACCGTGGCGGTGCTGAATAGTTTGATCAGTTGTCCCTGGACCAAGTGGTGTGTCATACAAGCAGCAGCTTTGTTTACCTATAGAGATGTATTAAATGGTAAATGGTGGTGTATTTATGTTTGTACATCTCTATAGGAAATTTGTGGCAGCCATCCTTCAAATTGTGAAGTTATAAATTATAAAATCTACAATCACTGAATTAGTTTTTGAGTAAGCATTGAATAGCATGAAATTTGGTTTTTATTTGGATAGCTTCCAGTTCATACTTGATAAACCACTAGTGCTTGATAACACATTCTTGTAGCCTTGAAAGCAATATTTCAGCCGCTTCATCGGCAGTCGCAATCGTTGACCTCTCATTACTGGTGTTGATCATTCCAGAGTGTGCCTGCAGCACGACCTTAGTGGTGTTGGTGGCATGTTTGGAAGCTCGTTCCTTGGAGAGGTGCGGATCCCCGTGCGTGACCTTGGTTTGGAAAGAGGCTGTTCCCACCAAGCCTGGTACCTCCTACAGCCACGCTCGGAAGGTCAGCGCTCTCCCCCCACTGCCATGGGATCATCGTCAGCCAATGGAGCGGCTGCGGGCAGCCTTGGCTCGCTGAGGCTCAAGCTGTTCTTTACATCGGACCGGGTCTTCTCTAGTCACTTCTACCGGGACCTTCGTGAGCTCTTGCTCATGTCACCCAATGTAAAGGTGAAATTTTTGCTCCAGAAAAGCAGAACGGTGGACACACACGCAGCAGACTTTCACTAAAGGAGCACTTACACAAAAAGTCTTCACCGTGCTTTTTTTTTTTTTTTTTCAATATTGCAATAGCTAGCTTATGGCCCACTTATCACGGTGGAAACCTCGTTTGCCTGAGTGTGTGATGGTTACTTATTTAGACACCTTAGAACACCCTGTCTCAATTTTGATTTCAAAGAGCACAGAGCTGCACAGGAGCAATTCCGGTAGTAAGGTAAACACAGCTGGCAATGTGACCACGCAAAACTGTGACGTGGGCACTGCGCAAAAGAGTGGGCGCTGCACTGAAAGCCAGCGCACAGAAAGCCGCAGGCGTGGAGAAGAAAATCAAATGTAGCGCAAGCGCATGGCGTATGCCAGCAACCAGCCAACACAAACTTGTGACGCAGGTATGTTTACATTGTTCTTATGTTGATGTTGGCATTGCTAGGGGCTCTGAAGCTCGCTCAGTCACGTGGCGTACACTTCAAAATTGATTTTAAAAGACGTGGCTTCCCTTCCTTTAATGGATTATGATGAATTGGTAATGGATTATGATGAAATGCTTATTGGCAATCTTTTTTTAGTGCTACTGTTGAAATTACATCAACATATTTTTACAACTGTTCGATGTAGAAAATATTTTACTTTCTGATCTTGTTCAGAGTCTGACTCGTTTAAAAAATATAACACGAAACTCGTTCAAAGCTCTATGCTTTCTAAGATGTCTGATTTGAGGGCATGACAATCAGGTTTTCTTTATTTGCAACAAAATTTTTTTACTTCTTATTTTTCTTGAGGTTACTGTGTAACAGGCATCGAAACTGTGTGCAACATGTCAAATGGCTAATTGTAAGAAGGCCATACTGAAAAAGCAATATTGCAATGCCCTGGACTGTACTTCAAAGAATACAAAACAAAAGCCGGAACTGAAATAGACCCAGCGGTTGTTGAGAAATCAACGGAACAAGCGAAGCAGGGAGCAAGAAAAATCGTTTTGAGAAAACGGCTATTCAAGTTGTAGCAACGATATTCCATCATCAAAAGTCACGGAGCTCGTAATTTTTGGAGTATTTTGCGGAGTACAGCTTCATGAATGCACTGCCTCCAGTTAGAGGTGCTTTTCTTAAACACAAGAAGAATATGAGCTTCGCTGTGTTTTATGGTGTCAGAGTTCTTGTACATGTAGTCTTACATCTGTTGTGCCTTCGCTTTTCTTTAACGTTTTCTATTTTATAAAGAAAATGTTGCATAGATTTCAAACTAAGTTTTTTGTACGAAGTGGTGTAATGGACATTACAGAAAGTAAGATATTATAATCTGATTAGGCCATATCTTGTTACAATAGGCAAGGTTTCTTGTATTGATGCTACTACTAACAAGTAGCACACTTGATTGTATTTGGTCATTGAACAATATTTATTGCATACTCAAAAAAAAAAAAAATGCTCTCATCGTGACAGTCTATCCCTTCCTTCCGAATGAGAGGCTGTTGTGGCCAAGATATTGGTGGAATGGGACTTTGAGTATCTTTTCAAGATGCAAATTGGGCAGCTATGTATTCATCTTCCTGCTTCACTCAAGCTCATTTGTAAACCTCGCCCGTCATGGGCTTCATCATTCATCCGGACACTGTAATCTACGAGGCTTTAGTTATCTCAGAAAATTCAAGAGCTTGCGGTTATAACAAGCATGGCTCCAAGAGCGTCTAATATTGCAGGATCAGTGCTTTGTTTCACCTCGAAGTGCTCGGTGGTGGAGTCCGCGTAGTCGTCACGCGATATTCGAGGTGCCGGCATTTGATGATGATGCGTTATATAGTGATATGCACCTAGGCGCAGCGATGACAAATCGGCGCGCAAAGAATTCGGCTTCGCATTTCGGGGGCCGACGTGGTCGCTGCGCGACGAGCTGGGCCGGGCTGTCCGCGGCCGATGCGCAATATGCCCAACCGTGATTTCAAGGCGTCATTAGGCGGTTTTATTACGCTCAAACTTCGTTATAACAAAGTTGAAGGGGAGCCACAATCATTTTGTTATATCGATTATTTCGTTATATCGACTATAACAGTTTGTGGCAATGTATGCTCAGATGGGCGCACACTTATAAGCATGCAAAGAAGAAAACCGCCTCGCGGCCCGATGTACCGCTACACCACCACGCGTGCGACGGAAAATAAACATAGTCGAATCTCATTAATTCGAACACGTTTCATGCGAACTCATGCTGAGGTCCCGTCAAAGCTATGTGTATTGCAATGTACGAAAACTCCCTGTAATTCGAACGCGCAAGTACTTGACGGTTAATTATAACATACCGCGTTCCAAAAATGCTCTCAGCACCATGCCCAATCACGCGGCGGCACCTCTCAACGCTGCGCGCGAAGAAGAAAAAGAAAAGACTGGCGGATTGTTTGCTCTCGCTGAAATGCCGGTCTGCAATGTGCCTGTGCCACGCTTCTCCCTTTTCGGGCTCCGCACGTAGAGACCCTTCACCTTTCAAGGTCTTGTGCGGAGAGAGAGAGAGAGAGAAAAAGAAGAAAGCTGCCGTGGAGAATCCTTTCTCAATGCAGAGGGTAGCTGCGGAGACGCAGTCATTGCCGTCGTCTTTAGAGGGAAATCGCTTTGCATTGCGGCGCTGCTTCTCGGTCATGTGACCCGCTGAGCGCCGGACAATCCTCTCCGCTGGCTGTGAAATAAATGCTCTCCCTGCCACTCGTGGCATGGCTGTGAGGTTGGCGCAGGAGTTTTGAAAGAGCCGTGTTAAACGAGCATCAGATTCCGCAGAAAATGATACACTTGACGCTCTACAGTCAGTTTTTTTTTATTTGATAGTCTAATTTAGTTCGTTATACCCATTTACTGGTCAATTTTACTTTGTTACGAAGCTTAAAATGTGTGGTTCTCAATGGAGCTTTCAAGGGGAATTTCATTTATTTGGTTATATCCATTATTCTTTAAATACCATTACGTTATAACGAGTTTTGAGTGTAGTTGCTTATGGCGTGATGTCCTTGGCCGCAAAGTTCGCATTCATCTCGTATCTGCGCTGTGAGCGGAGCTAGCTAGGCTTAGTCTTAACTCTGAGCAGTAAGCTCGGCGGAGATGCCCGACATTTAAAGAAAATGTCGTGTTCGATCGAGAGTGCAAAGAGCGGTTCCGAGATGGTTTCCATCAAGTCCAAAATGCAGATAAGCAGAACCTATCAATCTGACGGGTCGGTCCGAGACGCCCCTCTACGATGTTCGCCACGAATGTGGCGTTATCGCAGTCTCCTAGTGGAGCTTCCATGTGCAGCGGTCTGACAAGCCTAACTACAACACGATTCCAAATGAGCGTCTTACATTGCACACAGAACTAGCGCACACGCGTCACTACTAAGTTACGTGATTTTTCACAGCCGTGACCTTGCGCCGCACCAAGGCACAAGTAGCAGAAGCGCTGTCCCGGTTCGGCCAATGGCGAGGCACGTTGGAGCAACATGGCAGATGCGGCCAATCGGAGGCTTTGAGATCACCATGGACATTTGCTTGTTGCGCACTTGTTTTTCAAGGGGAGAGCCAGTTGAGATGCGGAATTTCAACACGGAGAAAGGCTCTTTCCAACGAGCCCAAAGCAATGGCACTTGGTCATGCCGTTGCGGAGCTACGATATTTTCAAAATCGGTGTTTTCTTGCAGTTTTCTTGCAATATTTGGTGTTTCCTTATGTCTGCCAATCACCACCTTGGCAGGCGTAACAAATTGTGAAAAGCACTGCTAGGCTGTTTTCAGTGAAGGTATTTGGAATCGGATAGAAGGAGGGCTGTAAAAACTGAAAATGTTATTCTGAGAAAATTGATTTCTTGGTGATTTTTCACGATACGAAAGTCGTGCCATCTCCCCTTTTATGTCCTAGGCTATATTTGCCCTTAATATATTGTAGATGTTGTGTCTTTTTCAGCATAAATCGATCTTGCTTATTATTTCGACATTGAAATTTTGTGTCAGTGCTCCTTTAAATTGAATCCGAAGTGACCAAGAACAGGAGTTCTGTTTACTGAGAAATGAGCAGGGGGGGCAGGATCCAAGTACTAAACCAATCATATAAGAAACAGTGGTTTTATTTAGGCAGCCATTTCATTGAAATGGACTCTAAAGTCAAATAACAATTTATGTCAGAGTGAAAGCTCAATATATGATGTCTAAAATGACAGTATTACCATCAGCAGTGCCCTACTTACCGAGAAATTAAGGTAAATGCACAAGAATACATGCGTCGCAGTAGGGCATTCTCAAAACGATCCTGATGACGTCAGATGAACCGCCTACAATTATACATAGTAATCGATCTAGCTGCATTTAAAAAAGAACCCTCCGTGCATCAATAGGTGCAATGAAATGCTCCATGTTCATTTCCATTTGATTCATGGAAAAAAGAATTGCCAGGCATTACCATGGGGAATGGCTTGAGGGGTTAAAAAACGCAATTTTCGCGTGCTTAAACTGGAGAGGTCGTGCCATCTAGTGGAGCCCATATTAACTAATCAAGCCTGCAATTTTGAAGGCCATAGTTGAACATTGTTCAGTGGCTGTTGTAGCAGTTGTAGCCCTCGCTACTTTCCCTCTGCTGCTGCTATAGTGTCGGTGACAGCGCGTTAAAGCCGTGCAACATTGTGCACGGCAACAGTGACGTGAGACGTTCGGTTGAGGCGGGTAATTTAAAATGTGCTAACCCAACGCAGACTGCTAAAATGCGATTTTATTTAAAAATAAGCCCTTCCTTGACACAAAAGTAAAACTACAAGGTTTCTGGACCGCTATTTGAACAATTAACGTCAATTTAATAGGTGCCTTTAGTGTGCCTTTTCAAGCGAAAGTTTGATTTAAATAGAACCGTTATATGCGTGACTCGACTGTACTAAAATTTTGGTGTGAATGGAATAGCAAACACTATTTGAAGAAGAATAAATGTTTTGATGGTGAATGGAATAGCAAACACTATTTGAAGAATAATAAATATTTCGATGGTGTGCACATTCCTAATAATGATCAAGAAAGGCTGGCATTTTAAACATCCAGTTACTGTCATACATATACGTCTTTAACTGTCTCGTGGCTTTTCGGGATGACGTGCATTTACGTCTTTGATGCTCAAGGGGTTAACATTGATAAAGGTTTTTAAATTTAATTTATAAGGCTGTTACTAATAAACCACATGCACGTAGCAATACAGATGTTTTTCTTCTTTTCTTTTTAATGGTCACTCAAAAAATTTTTCTTTCTTAAATAGATTTGGATGAAGATTTTTTTATTCAGCAATAAAAAAAATACTTACTGGGGTCACACATTTCTTGAAAGAAATCGATCTGCAAAGGTTTCAGATGGAGCAACTACCTCTAATATGATACGTTTGTACAGTAGACTTTCAGTAAACGGAAATATGTTAAACGGAACTACTGCCCCGCCGCGGTGGTCTAGTGGCTATGGTACTCGGCTGCTGACCCGCAGGTCGCGGGTTCGATTCCCGGCTGCGGCGGCTGCATTTCCGATGGAGGCGGAAATGTTGTAGGCCCGTGTACTCAGATTTGGGTGCACGTTAAAGAACCCCAGGTGGTCAAAATTTCCGGAGCCCTCCACTACGGCGTCTCTCATAATCAAATGGTGGTTTTGGGACGTTAAACCCCACAAATCAATCAATTAAACGGAACTACTGCCTAAACCGAACTATTGCCTTTGCGATGCTTGGTTTTAGGTTTGTATTCTGCACCTATGTTCACCGCTCAGCAAACGGAACTCCTGTTTAATGGAACATATATTCCCGGTCCCTTCAGGCTTTGTTTACTGAGAGTCTACTGTATTTGAATTCTGTTGTCCTGTCCACGTCTTGGTAAATGGAATCCTGTTTAACGAGACATATTTATCTGTACCCTTCTGTTTTAACACGAGTCTGCTGTAATTTTGTTTACCTTGTCAAAATTCCCTTTTTGAAAAAATTGTCTTTGAATCCTAGCTACGAAGTGTTCAGAAGTAGTCAATTCAGTGCCTGCAAGCTTTGTACCGAGGAAATATCTAAATGAAAATCAATACCGTTTGATCACCATCATACAGACGCCAACAATGATTTTTTAGTTCTTGTGATGGTTGTTTCTTGTTTAATTTAGGTTCAACCAATTTTCAAACGTAATTTTATGCATCATCGTTATTATACAAATTAATCAACAAGCTGTGCCGCTACAACTCCTCGAGTATTCGTTTGAGACTAACTGCCCTCCATGTGTGTGCTCATTGCAGCCAGTGACATCAAGTGCAGCTTATGTGTTGGGCGAAATGGTACAACACAAGGACGATGCGGCTCAGCCTCTGGTGAAGATATTCAAGAGCCACAGTTCTGTACTGCCTCTGCTGCGAGCACTGGCCAGCTGGGAGGTGGCCGGCGCAACGTAAGTGTTGTGCCATTCACTGCACTGCGTCACTTGCAGTAGCCTCCCAACAGACATCTCTACTTTGAATTTCGTAGATTTTGTTATAAGTTGCCGATTCTTTTAAAAACATTTAGTTCATATATAAAAGAACAACAAGTGTAAAAATCCCATAAGTTAAAACACTGAGATGCTTGGTGCACAAGGCATCTGCAACAAAGATAATGGAACACACTTCCGAGAACATTGACAAGACTCCAGCTCAGACTTTCGTAGGCCATGTCTCCTTGCACATGCTGCCGACTTTAACATGATGATATTGCTCGATGAAGCAGAAGCTTCAGAAACGCCGATATTGTGCGCTACTTACTTTTTGTAGGTAGTGTTACAGCACAGGTTCTTCATTATACATTTTATGGTTATGCGATGACCCGGGTTTTACGACAAATTGGTTGGGCTGTGGCAATCTCCCCCTAGAAAAAATGTGATGTATTAGAAACCTCTGATGCACAACTCATGCATCTTACAACTCTTTGGTACCGTACGAGATAAAAATTGAATTACCTTTTTTTTTATTGATTCTGATGCCCACGATATATCCGTGGAAGCAAAATAATACCTTACATGCCCCTAGGTTGACCAAAAAAGAAGAGTGAGATGAACACAGTGTAGCTTCTTAAAATAGAAATTTATTCTCGTAGCAGTTCATTTTTTTCTGTGATCCAGTTTTCATGGCTTTCAAGATCGCTTCTGAAAATGCTTCGCTCGCGGGCCTGTTTCTGGGTCGTTCGTTACCTGGCAAGCTTGATCTACACAAAGCAGCTTCAGCTAGTCAAGTTTGTCTTCAGGATATGTCTTCAGATGCGACCAAAAATATGAACATTTTGGCCTATTGAACTTTTCTTCGTCGGTAGGCTGAGGACCTCCCTATGTTTGCTCCACTTGCAGTTACAGATCTTGGAACACATAAAAGTGTGCAAAAGAACTTTCGCTTGATGTGAGTGTTTATAACAATGGCACCTCACCAATTGTACTTCAAAAGGGTACAAATATGACCCGCACATCTCAGTTGCACACAAAGTCACCGCACATGAACTCGCGAGAAAATGTGCTTTGCAGCTATTACGTAATGATGACAGTGTATCCGGCTCAGGCTGTTGCAAACATGGTTGCAGTTTCGTTTTTACATGTAGTGATTTTTATACTTGTTTTAACATAAAGGAGAAGCACGTTACATTTAATTTTTCTTTAAAGTTCAGATTGAAGATTTGCTACCACCTTTTTCAATTAATGCTTGGCAGTCATTTTTAAAAATTATAGTATCTAGTTTCCTTGGAGCAGTCCAGTGTCGTGCCGAAGGCTTACTCAGGTCAGCGCCTATATTCTTGGTGTCTCTCTTATATGCTTCCCTGGATTGAATCAGTCTTTCATGGGCTTCTCAAAGTTGTAGTATTAGTGGGGTCCCACTGTATTCAGCATTGTCACAGCGCTGAAGCTTCTTCCATGTTTCTGTTTGAGAACTAGCAGACAGTAGAGTGTGTAGTCATGTGGGAGCTTGCTTTATGTTTCTACTTCCCTTTATCCTAGTAACTTTTTCTTTTTTCTAAAATTCCCGGCTTATTACAGGGACCCGCACACTATTTTCCGAGGCAACACACTGGTGTCCAAATGTGTTGACGAGTACATGAAGCTGACGGGCATGCTGTACCTGCAAGATACTCTCAAGACAGTGGTGGCCAAGGTTAGGAAGAAAGCCAACCTACTCTGTGCCGCTTTTGGCATTCTTTATGAAACTGCTGCAAGCTAGTTGAGACAAAAGGTGTGCTACATCATACATTCAAAGTCTCCTCGATCTGGCTTCACTTTCTGCACGAAAGTGTTGTACAAGTGCTGCACCAGTTCCTCTAGTGGTAGTGCAGCACGACACTAGAGGTTTTGGTGTAGCAAAAGCGCAGCCTCATCATTTAGGTAGCGCTACTTGCACGAGATGCGAACTTGCGGAAAAGCTATTGCTGAAATGCTGATGAACTCGCCCAGCATGACCTCAAATCGAGTGCAGAAGTGCAGGTGCCGCGAGCTGCGCTCGCCAAATTGAAGGCTAAAGTGCAGCACTCTTGAACTAAGTGCGGATAGTGCAGTAAATTCGAGGAGACCAGTTTACAAAAAAGTGCTCAGGGACAGCACACACACAAAAAAAAGCATTGAGACTGTGGAGGTAAAAAATGTTTAAAAAGTACAGACAAATTTGTTCATCCAAATTGTAGTACATTTAAACATCAAATTAGCTTGTGAAAACTTGCTGCAGCGCTCAGCAGGGACGACATGATGGGGACACATGTATGCTTTCTGCATTTTTCATAAATTCAGGCCATTGTTTGAAGATGTGAATGAGATTTATGAAACTTTTTTGAATGGTAAAAAAAAACAACAACTAATTTTTAAGCACATGTCAAAACGCAGAAAAAGTAATGGATTGCTTTTTCTATATTTCCCTCTTCAGATTTATTACACTTGCTCAATTTTTACCTCCAGGCTGTTCTTCAAAACATCACATACTTACATGTTTTTTATTTTTCACTAGATTCTAACAGAGCGGCTTCCCTGTGAGATCGATCCTACGAGACTGAAGGACGGAGAGTCCTTGAAAGTGAATGAGGTAAAATCACCTTGAATGTGACTTTATAGACAAGTACACAAGCAGTTGGTCAAACTTATATGCATGGTGATGGATATGTTTTAAAAAAGAAATTCTGTAGAAAAAACAAACAAAAACGAATGACAGTAAATCTAATGTGCCCTGTCGGAATGCAGCAAACATTTGTTTGACAGCACATCAAAGATGTCTCAGCGTGACGATTATTTTGCTTGAGTTTTGCTACTCCTTCAGGCCTTGTTGGTGAAGGCACTAATGTACCTTTAACACACAACCGGCCTTCTTGCAGTACAAAGAGGCGAGCCAGTCTTCTGCGCTATTTGTTTTGGGCACCTGGCCTCTCTATGGAAGCACCTGTGGGAGTGCCTACACGGTTGCTGGTGTCATGGCAGGCAGCAGTGTTATTGCATGCTTGATGTGAGGTCAGCCCTTCAAGTGCATCTTGTCCCATCTCAGCGTGACTCGAGGCTGCCGGGCCCTTCGACCTTTGTGGCGAGCATCCTGCATGCATCTGTGTGGGCTGGCATATTCTTCACTTACCACTATTGCGGGCAAAGCTAATGTATGCTGGGTATCATGTCTTGGAGTTGTAATAAGATCGTTCCGCACTGTCAGCTATCGGTGCTTGCTAGTGTGACGTTGATGTAAGAGACAAATGGGTACATGAGACACAGCATAACTGCATAGGTGTTGATCAGAAAACAAAACCGGCATGCATTGTTTGTTAGAGACATCTTGTGTAGGGGGACAAGAACTATTCTCCGGTGTATGTCTCTTGTAAAGGGGTTCTACTGTATAGTGCAGTATATTATGTTACTGCTCTTGGATGGCAGTGCTGTGCTTATCGGGATCAAGGAGGTAGAATTATAGCCTTCATTTGCATGTGAGTAGTATGTATGCATTGGTGGCCCAACAGATAGCGCCGCTCCCTGGGCTTGGGCTTGGGCAGGTGTGCAAAGAAAGCTTCGCTTCAATATGTTTGTCATGCGTTTTGCTAATTTTCAAAGTGCCTTTAATGGAATCTGAGTGATCAACTGACATTCCCGTATCATTTTTTACATGGCTTAGTGGCCGTTACCCATACCATGTGTAGACAAGGCCAGTGAGTGCGCTTTTAGCCTAACATGTGCTCCCGTAAATCTTGCTCTTTACTGCATGCAGGCGCACCTTCGAGGATATGTGGGGGCAGCACTGTCAGCTATTGTGGGCTCATGGGTGGCCTGCCCATGGGAGCTGTGTGACCTCTTCTCTATGCTCCGAAGCCTAGCAGCCGACCGCTTTCCCGGTCGCAAGGAGCTGCAGTACTCGGTGATCTCTGTCTTCCTCTTCCTGCGCTTCTTTGCGGCAGCCATCCTCAGCCCGAAGCTCTTTGAGCTCTCTTCTCGGCCCATTGTGAGTATCATTGACAGCTTATGCAAGCGTGGTTATGTGGAATTTTTTAAACGAAATCAAATGTTTATATATATAGATGGAAACATTTCTGTGAAATGCCCACTAGTTAGATTGTGTATAGAATATTTTGCGACTTCTAAAGCAGCTTAAAATATGAGGTTACAGTGCACATGCACATACAGAGTTGGTATTCTGTGGAATGGTGAGCCACAGCAATGCTTTCACTGCATTACATATGAAAAATGCTTTGTGGCAGGCACAAATAGCACATTGGTAAGGGGAAAGCAGTTGTAGCACAGGTAATGGAGCATCATAAGTTTTAAAGAGCAGTCCTGCGAGCCTGTTAGCACCCATACCATAGTGGTCACGCTGGTACATTGCTGAAGGGATTTAACAGTGATTGAATGAAGTGTTTGGAATGCTTTATTCTTAGTGTGTATACATATGTTCATTTTTCCCCCTTAGTCTTGAACTTAAGCTACATGTATGCATAGCTGTTTGTGGCTAAGCCTCTTTACCCTTTCTTTCTCGTTTCTAGGATGAGCAGTCTCACAGGACACTGACCCTGGTGTCCAAATCCATACAAACTCTGGGGAACCTTGTCAGCTCCACATCAGTAAGTGTTCCTTGCCTACCCTAATTGTGCTAAAGTTTTAAAGCATCCCTTGCCAAGTCCTCACTGAAAATTCCAGTTGCGCACTGTAAGATGTAAGGCATTGTTGTTGGAATTTTCAAATTGGTACTTCTTGTTAAACATGTGAAGAAAAACTTTACTACCTTTTTTAGCATGTCTCTGTGAAAGGAGAGCTGCCAATAGCAGAAGCTGGTTTTGTAATATCCCATTCACTATGCATCGAACAGTGTAGAAGCAGCTGCAAAGTTTATTAGCATTCACAAATGATTTTGTTTAGTTAGATTGCAGCAGACAAAAGCAGACTGTACGAAGCCGATATTGGAGGGTAGCAGACCTGAAAAGTTTTCTTTTTTATTTTTGATCTTGTGTGAGTTGCGGTGGACAATAGGGGCATGAATTTGATTGGTACTTTGTTGTGTGTTGCAGGCACAGCCTTTCTATAAAGAAGACTACATGAAAGAGTTTTATGAAAACTTTATCACTGAAGAGCACAAGGAAGCTGTGAGACAGGTACGTGTGACCGCAGTTGTCTAATGGATAAGGTGTTTCGTTACTGTCATGGCTCACACTGTCGCAGCGTCTTATGTGCTCTTCTTGCTCTGTGAATAAATTTTTGGTTAATGCAAGCGCTGCATTTAAAAATTAATAATGAACAATGATGAAATCTGCGTGTGAATGCTGCATGTGTAAATTTTCATTTAAAGGGGCCTTGCAACACTTTTTGAGCATGGTCAGAAAACTGCCGATCGGTAGTAGAGGCTCCCGACAACACACGAGCCAAATATTACAGCGCAGTTTGCGGCCTGGAATTCAGGATAAGTTATCAAAGTCAGCTAAAAATAGCCTTCTCTTCTCTCGACAAATCACAGAAAATAAGCCCAGTAAGCACGTCTATCAGCCATTAGCTGATTTGAACATGGCCCGCTCGGTCGTTACAGAGATCGCCATTGGAGGTCGTCACTTGTCCACGCGTGCGCGCACGATCGCACTGAAAAATCTGTGTATTGGAATAAAAAGAAAAAGTGCTCAAGGTCACAAGGCGCGTGACATTTTTTGTTTGCCCCTCCCATCCTTCTCTGTTTAGTGTCCAGCGCTTTCATCGGGACGAAAGAAGAGAGAATGCGAAAGCAGCGTGTGACAAATCTTTGTAACTTCACTAGTACTGGACAGATTCTTAAAATTTTTGCGGCGATGAATTTTTGAGGCAATACGCTTTTCCAGTGAATTAATTCCGTGGTTACTCAGAAATGTCTTTCCGGGCTCCTTTAATGTTATAGCAAAGTAATTTTCTTCTCTTTTTTTTTGTTTTGTAGTACCTTGAGCTCATTTCCTTGAAGAATGTACCGATGAGGAACCTTGACACGCCATCCATTGTTCTGAAGGAAGGGTAAGGACGCTCATGTTGCCACTTTGACTCGGCTGGATAAAAGGGGACATTTGTCATAATGACTTAGCATGTGACAGTATTTGTGATGGTGTAAAGCAAGTTTCACTCTTGCATGTTTATGTTAAGTGAATGCCCCTTTTGCACTCTCCTGCTGGCACCTATTGAAGAAACCAAATGCTGGCAAACTTGCATTGTTGAATTTGTTTGCTTGTACGTTTCTGCTGGAGGCTATAAACAAGAAGGGTTAGCTTGCACTAGACTGGTGGCGCTTCGCCACTAAAGATGTGATCTTTGTGGCCTGCATTGTTTTCACTTGTTGCTGATAAGTGATTTAAGCAGGGACTGATGTTTAAGCAGGGACTGATGATAGGGACTGATGTTTGTATGGCACTATTGAACTTAAAATTCTTTCAGAATATTCTTGAGATAGTGTTCAAAATTTTCTCTTTGACAGGAGTGGCGAAGGGTGGGTTCATTACGCAAGTAAATGCGATATGTGTGCATCACCTTTTGAATGATACATATCCTGCAATTGCCCGAGTTGGTGGCCAACATACATAAACAGTACTTTGTTGTTGCCCCATCTTGTGCAGGACTATGACCAAAAGGGCACAAGGGCGCAACAAGCTCGGCCTAAAAAACTTCAAGCGTCGCTACTTCTGCCTCACCACCAAGGAGCTCTACTACTCAAAAACGAAAGGTGGGCCACAGTGCAAGAAAAGTCTGCTTCTGAGTTTGGACTGTTAGTGGTGTATTTCAATCACAGTGTTCACTATGTGCAATATTTTATTTTTGGTTAATGTGCAGTTGAACATCAGTTGATGCGTTCCCACTTAATACAATTTCCCGGCTCTTACGCTCAAAATCGCGAAAACTAGAAATGCCCTCATAGCGCAATGTGTTAATACATTCCCGGAAAATACGATAATTCGGCAGAAACGTTTGGCATTGTGGCAAGCTGTGGTTGTATGATACGTTCCGCAGGCAGGTGGGGTAAAAAACCGCTCTCGCGTGCTTGTGAAGCGCCAAGTGGCAGACTGCTGCCGCGCGGTGACGGCAGCTTCTTTGCTGCGCTCAATTCATCCCCCGCGTGTTCTCGGAATTACACTCAATCGTCCCTTCTGTGCTTTCTTCGAATGCCCGGTCGCCCTCTCCATCGCTACCACAGCTGTCTGTGAACCACACAAAGACCCGTCTGAGCCGCTAAAGCCTTCAAACGATTTTAAAAAATGCCTTTTTATTTTCTTTTGTGTAGTGGTTTTCTCTCTTAGGTGGCACCTTGGCACGATTTCGCAGAGCACTGCAAAGCCTTCATTCATAGCATGGTACCTGAAAAACGCGATCATCCCTCACTACAACAGCCGAGAGAACACTACGGAGCTAACCATTGCTTAGGCACGAGACGGACATGTTGCTTCCGCTACACAACACGCCGCTACATCTGCCTCGTCTCTGTTAGCCATACACCTTTCAACGGGAAAGATGCGAATGCGGTGTGCCTATCTGTTCTTGCTAATCTCCATGTCATTAGTGTGCCATGTGTGCCCTGATGTGTCATTATGGTGTCTGCAATTCTGCAGTGTAACCTCCACTGGAAACGAGTGCTGCTCAGTAAGAGTCATTGCCGGGGCCTCAGTGATTCTTGCTACTTAAAGAAGAAAAAAAAATTTAAAGATATGCAAGTCTGGCTCTGCGCAGGGCTGCACGTTGCTCAGTAGTTCGCAATTCGAGGCAGATGCGTCCAGCATGGTGGCGGGGAAGCGCAAGCCCTTGTTGATTAAGAGGAAGCTGAATATCCTTCGGCAGCTGGCAGTGGAGAATACAGCGCGCAGCAAAAACGGCCCTTTGCGTCTGACAAAGCGCGTCTGACAAAGCGCGTCTGACAACGACATCAACGAGGACTTCCTCTACACCGGCGCCATTGCACCCTTTGGTGGGTTCGTCTCAATAGTCAACAACGTCCCGACTTGCGAGCTACAAAGTGCTGTGAAATTGCCGCGAAGGTGGTTTGGGGTGATGAAGCAGAGATGGAGCTGTAGGACGAGGCTCCGGCTAACTTTGCCAAAGCTCTTGTTGGACTGGAGGCTTGAGCTCCTTTTGCACGAAAAACTATGAAAATGCCGGCAAGGGTCGACAATGTGTGCAGAAGGAGCTTTTTTTGTCTAAGGGTGAGAGGCAGCAGCAGAGAATTCCTGTTTTTAAGAAATAAATTTTTTTTGCCCTTACACCTGTATACGGACTTCTCAGCCTCAAATTTTGCTGGATTGGGATCATAAGTTTTTTCGGATTGTGCTTAGATCTTCCATGTTTTTTTTTCTCGAAAACTTATCAACGAGGTTCTATTGTATTAGCAAAGCACTTTTTTTTTATTTGGTGGTTGGCAACACAAGGCTGTTGCACTTTTATAAAAACGTTGCCCTTAAGTCTGCAGCCATTTTTGTGCATACTGTACAACCTTTACATTATGCATTAGGGTATTATGATAGGCTAAACAGTCTTAATGAAGCTTAATGTTGTGGCATTGCAAAATATCCATAAAAATACAGTAAACCCTCATTATACACTCAAACCTCGATATAATGAAATATCGGTTATAACGAAGTAAACTAAAAATATTTTTGCAATAGATATAGTGTTAAAAAGAAACCATTTTAACGATTTTTCAGATATAACAAACTTATTTCTGGTAAGATGCAACTTTGTTATAATCAGGTTTGAGTGTAATGTAGTGAAAGAAGACGTTTAAAAAGTTCTATAAAGGTTGGTTACTCAATCGAACCGACTACTCAATAACTGCTGAAATAGTCAAATTTGAATTAAGCTATAACTGCGAGAAAGGCTAAATAGAAGGTATTCAAGGACGCAAACCTTTATCTTCTCCATACCTGCTGGCGATGGCATTGAAAAGGGTCGCCCCGGCTTGGCACGGCCACTGTAAGGTTGGCGGTGAAACCAATTCAGTTCACTCTAAGCAGATAGAGCTGTTAGTGTGTTTTGTGTTAAAATGCATGGGTTTGGGTCAGTACTGTAAGAAATTTCATGAAAAGCATGTTTATTGGTGATTGGAATTCAAAAGCAGCTAGCACTTCTGATGAATGAGGGCTCCAGAAAGTGTTGTTGACTAGCTCTTGTTTTTGTAACACTGTGTGGGTTCATTCTGATATATATATTATTATATTTTTTAATCTCTTCTTCACTTTTTGTCTTTCTTTCTTACAGACTCGAGCCCACTGTGCACCATTCCACTGTACGAAATCTTGGGGGTGGAAAAAGTGCAGGAAGACTCATTCAAGATGAAGAACGTGAGCATTCTGTCTCTTTGTTTTCTTTGAGCCACCTCAGGTGTCTTATAAAAAATTGCAGTGGTTGAAAAAAAAAAAGACATTCTTTTGTCTGTGTTCATGGGCCATCTGGCAAATGAAATTGTATAGTCCCTAAGCAACCTCAAAAAAAACTTATTGTTGTCAAACGAAAACAGGGAAGTTGTTATAAAATGCCAGGAGTAACGATATTTTGAACTGCACAAAATACCTAGCTAGCGTCAGATAGCATAGATATATATAGGGGCGACTCAACGAAAAATTTTGCTCGTGAAATGCAAGTTGGAGCATCACGGAAAACTAACAAATGTGGCTGCCATTTTCAATATTGAAACTGAACGATAGAAGCAGTTGCTTTCGCTCACCAAAAGTGACAAATGAAGTATTAGAACATGACCTAGAATGCACGACTCCTTTAACATCGCCTCCAACATAAAGGAGGGCTGAAAAGTCTTAGATGGGGCGTGCCTTACCCTGCATCATGGCAGGAAACCCCGGGAGCATGTGTCATCTCAGCTGCTGTTTGAGCGGTATCATTACCAGCCCTGCAACTATATTGTTTCTGTAGTAAACGTTATACCACTCACACACAATAAACTTGGCCGAGTATTGTTGCAGTCGGCCTTTAACTTTTTGACAGTTTTTTTTTTTTTTTTGCAAAATGCGTCTCACAAATGTGCTATTTTTTTATTGCCTCAATAAATTTTAAATGAATAAATTTCAGGGGGATGACCATAAAGTGGAAGAAATATTAAAAAACTTGCCTAAATAAATTTTAAATAAATAAATTTCGGGGGGGGGGTGACTATGAAGTGGAAAAAACATCATTTGTGTTACATTTATATGTTTTTATTCATAACAGCAAGAAACATTAAAAAATTGTTGATACGATTAAAAAAAATGTGTTTTAATAAACATAGCTCACAGACGTACAAAAATAGGCGCACCAAATTGCTTTTCTGGCAGTAAAAAAAATGTTCTTGCTATAACTCTGAAAACTTTTCAGCATGTGATAGCACTTAAAACACGACTCCACACAGACAGGTTTGTTGCACTCAACACACATGTACTAGTGCGTTTCTTTGCGAAATTTCTGTCACTGAGTGGTGTTGGTAAAGGCGTAGCATCTTCTTCGTCTCCTGCTCTCTTATCATTGGTAGGTGGCAACTTCTCTATTAATTGTTTGGAGCGCTCTTCCGTAGTGTAAGAAAACTGCGCGAATATATGCAAATAAAACTGTAAGGTAGCGCGCACGCCGGAAGAGCAAAACGAGTGAAAAAGTTATAGTAATCCTTCGTCAAAACCGCAACAAGACGTAGTTGGTTTTTCCGTGTCCCCAGAACAGGCAATTCAACCATGGCGGCCTTGTTTGTGTAACTTAGTGCTGCACCGAAACAGATATAATCGTGCCCTGGGGTGTAATAAATGATAGTGTAACAAGTGTCACCCTTTGAGAGATAAGAAACCAGACAGCCATCAGCTTTGTGGTCACGAGAAGCAATAACTGCACGAAGTATGAAACCTAAAGCAACTGCACCACGCTCATGCTCGGACGCGCAAGTGAAAGCTGGTGCGCCGCTGTTGAAGGAAACTAATAATAATACTAATATAAAAAAAGCAACTGAGCAACATCTGTTCATGAAAAAAAATTCCCTGTATTCTTGAAGTGTGGCAGCCCATGCCAAGCAGCAAAAATGATCAAGAAAGACACGCGTTTATACAGCTAGGGACAAGCACGTACCGGTTTCTGTTTAGAGCGACATTCACATACTTGTGTGACTGTCAGAGGGTTGAGCATGCATGATGGGAAATTCATTGATACTTTCATTACAGGTGTTCCAGGTGATACAAAAGTCTCGCGCACTGTACATCCAGGCCAACAACTGCGTCGAAGAGAAGGAGTGGCGGACAATCCTCACACGCATCTGCCATTTCAACTTGTGTCGCATCCACACCTACCACCCAGCTGCCTTCCTCAAAGGCCACTGGCTCTGGTCAGTACATTTCCGGGTTGATTACTGGGTCTGTTCCATTCACCTGCACCAGTCGGAACCGGTTCACGGTGGTGCACGAGAAGTTCACAAATTGTGCAGTACTGGTGCAGACACAGTGCAACAACAGAAACGAATGATGAGGTGCCGGCAAGGTGCAGACCTTATTTCTCTTCTCTTGATTTATGCCGTCTACTAACACTAACTGCAATGGCAAACCGCACATATGGACAGTTTATAAGATGCAAGCATCTGGGCAAAACACACCGTGTTAGTAGAGGTGCATACAACACATACACCTAAATGCTGCTTCTGCTCAGCTGCATATGCATTCCCACGGCTTCGTCAAATCGGCACTATCAAGGGTAGGAGGTGCAGAAAAACGGTGAACCAGTGCTGCACCTCTCCTGTACCTTGTGAAACAATGGCATAGTTCAGAGTTCGTCATTGCTGAAGCTCTTGTTTGCTCCCGTAACAAACGCGCGCAGATCAACGCCGAAGTGTTGTCCAGCCGCTCGGTTCCTATGCTTTAGCGCATGCTCAAACAATTTTAAGGTGGCAGGCTGGTCTTAGACATGTTTTTGTTTATTTCTTCAGTGATCTTGATCAAATTGCACATGTTTATGCAGTTTTTTTCTCCTGATTTCAAATATTTCATTAGTTTTTCTGTAACTCATCTTGTTCCTGAGATAACTTAAGGGGGGACGCGGGGATCAAATCGCGAAATTCTCGCAAAAAAACGAATTTTGGATAAGGGCAGATTTGGATTCTGCATCACCATTTCTATCATATCTAAAAATATTTCCGCCGAAAACGATCTCAAAGTAAGCTTAAAAAATGTTTTTCTGACCGCGGATCGCAAAAAGCTGGCTGAAATCTGCGCGAAAATGGCCCATTTCCGAGCGCGATACTTCCGCGCCTTCGCCGCCGCTCGCGGAAAGCTTGGTGTCACTGGAAAGCTTGCTTCACCGCCGTACTTCTCCCGGTGAAACCACGACTCTACGAGCTAAGATAAACGCACAAACAGAAAAAATGCGAAGGCATCCGCGACGCCTTAGACGCGCACCCATTGGTCGCTCCTGTCACGTGGTACTGAGCGCGCTCTGTGAGTGGCTGCTGGGACGCGCTTGCTTGCGCTGGTCGTCTGCTCCGCGCACGCACGTCTGCTACGCACACGCTGGCGCACTATAGTTTGCGAATCCCCTGCCGATACGGTCGCCGATACGCCAACTCTTCTCTAGCGCGAGGCTTAGCGTCCGCAATGGATCGTCGCGTGGACCGGAAGCGCAGGACGAAGTACCGGACGAAGTACGCTTACGGGAAGCGTAAACGCAAGCCTCCTGTTGGGAAAACGAAGCAGTCAGCAGCGATTGAATCAGACGAACCGAGTACCGCGTCGCCACCAAGCTACGTGTCGTCGGAAGCCGACACCTGCTCGCTGCCGATGCTCGGCAGTGAGGCCTATGACGCGGGGCCGTCAACTAGCCGCGACGTTGCGGTGCGGCCCGAACGCGAAAGAAGTTTCGTTTTCGCTGCGGCGGGTGACGATGCGGTGCCGGCTGTTCAAAGTGACAGGTGAATCGACGCCTGGCAGTGACACTGAAGACCCGGGGCCATCAACTAGCCGCGGCATCACGGTGCGGTGTGAACGCGAGAAAAGTTTCGTTTTCGCGGCGGCGGACGACGACGTGGTGCCAGCTGTCCAGGATGTCGGCGATCGTTTGCCTCAGCGGAAGCGCACCGTTCAAATACACCTGGAACCTCGTTTCGTGTCCTCGGAAGGCGCCGAGAAGCAAGCCAGCAGTGTCCGCGATGCACTTCGCGAGGTGTCGGCAACGGAGCAGAAGTTCGGGTTCGCGCAGCAAACGGAGCAAACATCGGCAACAAAAGAGGATGAGTTCACCCTAATTCAGGTTTCTGCCATGAATTCCCTAATAGGACCTGCACTCTGCCCAAAATGTTGTAAGAAGACTTTGTCAGTGCAGCATGGGACAAAATTGGGCCTGGCAGTAAAACCGGTACTTTTGTGTGCTTCCTGTGGCCCTATTCATTCACCTTGGTCATCCAGTAGAAAATCCGAAGGAAGGGCTTTTGAAGTCAACCTAAGAGCCATGCAAGCAATCAAGTCCATTGGAAAAGGGCCCACTGCCCTGAATGACTTCTGGGCTACAATGAATGTCTCTCATCGGGGCATTCATCAAAAAACCTATCAGGAACACCTAAAAAAAAACATTCAAACCAGGAGCAGAGGAAGCTGCACAAAACATCTTTGCAGATGCTGTGCTTGCGGTAAAAGACGTGTACAGTAAGATGCAGCCATCAAGCCCAAACAACATCACAGTTGTGTATGACGGCACGTGGCTTACAAGAGGCCACAGCTCACACATTGGGGTAGGATGTATTATTGAGTTTTACACGGGGCTTGTGCTGGATTGCACAGTCCTTTCCAACTTCTGTCTTGGGTGTTGTCAACAACCAGCAGAGAGCGACCCCAACTTCGTCACTTGGGCTGAGAAACATCAATGTCAGAAGAATACTGATGTTGGCTCCGGACAGATGGAAGTGGAGGCTGCTCTGACACTTTTCAGGCGCTCTGTCAGCAGGTATGGCCTCCGCTACACCAACATTATATGTGATGGTGACAGCCGAACCTATCTTGCTCTGTGCAAAGATGAGGTGTACGGCTTCATACCACTGACCAAAGAAGACTGCGTGAACCATGTGCAGAAGAGAATGGGCACCGCTCTCCGCACACTGGTGACAAGAGCTAAGAAAGGGGAGCCATTGGGTGGGAGAGGTGGACTGACGCAGGAGTTGATTAAAAAACTGACCAGCTACTACGGGTTAGCCTTGCGAAAACACACAAGTGTCCCTGACATGCAAAGGGCCGTGATGGCCACTTTTCATCACGTCACGTCCACCGATGACGAGCCTCACCATGAGCTCTGCCCAACTGGCCCTGATAGCTGGTGCAAACATCGTTCAGCACAGGCCAAAATGGAGCCAGCACCACCTCACAGGTATAACCTGTCGAAACGTGTAGCGGAGGCTCTGCTGCCTGTATACCAACGTCTCTCTGACCCGCAACTGTTGGAGCGATGCAAAGGCAACAAAACTCAGAATGCGGCGGAAAGCTTGCATTCAGTTATTTGGTCACTGACTTCAAAGGACCAACACGCTTCATTGTTCGCAGTGGAGACAACAGTACATGAAGCAGTTGCACGCTACAATTTTGGGAATTTGCGAGCCTACACTGAAATGTGCAAGTCCGTGGGCATCAAACCTGCTAGCCTCGCCCTTCAAAGAGCTGAAGAAAAAGACCAGCAAAGAAAACGAAAAGCACGCAGTGCAGAAAAAATGAAAGAGAAAGGACGTAAGAAGACCCTCGCAAGCAAAGACACAAAGTATTACAGTCCCGGGGCATTTTGATGGACCTTTACTGACTGTTCAACTTTAACGCCAGTTTTCTCAGAAACGTGTTTTGACCCGACTGTCCAGCTTGCCACGATGCTTGCATGACTATGGCTTGACGGATTTTCATGTGGTTTTTTGCATTGTGTTCCTCAGTGAATTTTCTATGTCGTGACGTTTTCATATTTGTTAATTACTACCTCAGTATTTTTACTCCTAAGCTAATTTCACATTATGATAACGACCACATTTACAAGCATGTATACAATGTTCTCTGTAAAATAAAAACAGAGTCATAAAAATATTTGCAGAATGTCACGACATCAACCATCCCAATGGCTAAAATATAAGAGCAACTATAGGCTTCTACCATGTTTTTTTGTCACACCAGGCTTTGGGCAAGTTTGGTAGTACACTGATGGATAAAAAAAATTTATAATGCCAGAACTACTGGAGATAGCTGAATGAAACTTTGTCATTTATCATTTAGCGCAGTTTCCAGTAAGCATGCCAAATTTCATTGCTCTACGACAAAAACTAAAGAATTTCACTTTCGATCCCCACGTCCCCCCTTAAGTTCACCCCCTATTGTTTAAGGCCGCCATAGAAAAAAAAAAGTGCTTAATTAAAAGTAATATTTAAAATATGCCAACATAGACTAATGACTACATATTGAAAGTATGCAAGAGATTTTGTTTTTAGGCTTTTCTTGGTTATTTTACAGCAAAATGAACTATTCATTTTCAAAAGCAGTTGGAATTGTGTTACAGTTGTGATGAGTAATTAAAAAGCTTGTGCTCTAAATTCTGCTTCCATACTTGCATTCTACCACATACAGGTTTCCATTGCAAAAAGAATTATTTTTCTGCCTGCCCTAGCTACAGAGATATGGAGGCCTCAAATTTGAACAGTCATAAATTTACTTTTATGAGAAAAAAAGAAAAAAATTGAAAACACACAGCTTCTTCAAAAAGCAACAATCATGGTGCGCATGTTTTGAAATCCTCATAAAGGTGCTCATAAATTTGTAGCAGAGCTTCTAACAAAGGTGCCATCAACTTATAAAAAAGCTTCGAAGTCTGTTCCCCATTTTTTCACAGGTTTTGCATGTTAACAGCACCAAGAATCCGAACAATTAAAATGACATTACAAAAAAATTACCAATTCCTGGTGCGTGAGAATTTGCAGAAAGATTGAAAAATACCGTATTTACACGATTGTAAGACGACCCTTTTTTTCAAATTTGACAATCCAATGTTGGGGGGTCGTCTTAGAATCGAAACCCATGTATTGTCATCTCGAATAGTTTCCCGCTCAACCCAAAGCGCATAGTTTTCCGCGTGCTTATACAAAAGCTTTTCTTTTTTTAGCATCTACTGCGCGCATTACGAGTGCCTTTATGACGAGCGCACGGCTCTTGAGGGAGCACCGGTAATCGATGGAAGAGCCGCCGTAGGGGGGTATTGGTAGTTGACGGAAGAGCTCCTCTTTGTTATACAATTTTCTAAGCGGGCGCGTCGCCGCGTGCTCCTGTCGCTTGTGTCCACGACCGGCTCTCTCGAGTCACTTCTGTCTGACATGAGTGCCGTAGG